AACCCCAGCAAGTGGGAACTGGTGGGGGGGTAAAGCCCCAGCCAGTGGCTCAGCATGTCCTGGGCAGGGGCCCTTGTCCTGTGCCCCCAATGGAGCAAGCATGAAGGTGTTCTTGAGCCGTGGCACCCTGCAGACCCGTGTGCGTTTGGAACGGTACCAACACGCAGGGGGTTGAGGCTGGATGAGCTTTAAGGGCCCTTCCAACAGAAACCATTTCACGATTCTATAATGTAGAGACTCCCCTATGCCCCCGGCTCACCTGGATGTGGCACCACTGCCGGGGGTCTCACAGGAGCCCTCCTGGGGCATCCAGGCAAACAGGATGGTTTCTCTATCACACAACAGAGCCTGTCCTGAAATTTCCTGCCACATCTCTCCCAGGAGCAGGGGGCGGGAAGGGGGGGAGGAGGAAGGCAGCTCCTCCAAGACATTCACTGTGAAAACACGAGCCTGGAAGAGGAATCGGTGAAACCATCAGAAACAGTTTATTGTTAGAGCACACGCAGAGGTCACCCACCCCTCCTGGCTCTTCCTCGCAAGGAGACACACACAATGTGGTTGGTGCAGGGATTAGAGGAGGAAGCCGCTGGCAGTCTGCTCCCAACTTTCCTATTAGTTCTGTAAGCGGCCTCTTCACAGTATTAACAAATACCAGGAGCTGCATTAACCCCTTCACCACTAACCCTGCTCCCTCTGGAGCGGTTCCCACGTGGAACAGCTTCCCCAGGGACGCTGGCTCGTGTCTCTGTGCCAGGACGTTCATGAGAAAGCAAAGTGGAGCACACGGGCTGTGGTGTGCTCCCTCCTCCTCCTCCTCCTCCTCCTCCTCAGTGGCAGCGATGCACCAGCCCCGTTTAACAGGGTTTACACAAAGTGGTAGCAGCAAGAGCTGTGCTCCCAGGAAAGGTCCCTTCAGGACCTCATGGCGGAGGCCAGCATTCCCTCCTATGGATCACAAACTAAACAGGGCACAGTGAAACACGTCAACACCAGCCCAGCAACGACTGAAGGAGCCTTGAAGGAAAACCGCTGCACAATGGTACAGACCCAGCGCGCTGCTGAAGACAAGGCTCCCTCTGGTGGGAAGAGTGCGCATTGCAGGAGAGCCGGGACGCAGCTCGGAGCAGAGCGAGAGCCCTGTCTGGAGGAAATTAGTCCAGGAGCGCAGAACTGGTCACAGCCCAGCCCTGGCTCTGCTGTGAGAGCTGGGCGAGGGTTTGCTCCAAACCCTGCCCGGGTGACCAGAGCACTCAGCTCGGGGCCAAGGCTCAGTTTAAACCCACTCTGCTCATTCCAGAGAAAGGTGTTGGCTAAAGCTGCCCCTGGTCAGTGAACACAGGCCCAAGGCCTTCCTATGACACATTGAGAGTGGGGTGGGACTGAAAACGCTGCAGCTCCAAGGTGCAAACTGCCCTGAAGCCACACGCGCACGGGAGGAGGAGGATGCCCCGGCTGGTCTTTGGAACAGGATGGAGATGACACAGAAAGGACGACTCGAGCACAGAGCTGCTGCTGGCCCATCACCACACAGGGAGCAGCAGAGCCTCTGGGAGTACTTATTATTGTCTAGCACCAAATCACACAACCCCAAAGGCAGCCACCAGAAGTCTCCAAGGACCCGCTGGTCCTTCTGTTGCTGTCACAGAAACAGGGACTAAGGGTTGTGGCTTTGAGAATGTAATAAATAAAGATGCACAGTGTCCTGAAGAGCATCTGCAGGCTGGCAAGTACAGCTTGCTTCCAAGAACTACAAGATGCACAGCTACATCTGCCCACCACCTGCCCGGCCAGGCAGCATTCCAAACCCCGCATCCGCGCCGACCCGAGCGCCCGCCGCACCGCGGGAAGCACCAGCCCATCCACAGCACGGATGGAACTGCTCTGCCCTCTGCTTACTGAGCAGCGTCTTTGGAGTGTTGATCTAAGAACCTTCATGTCTGGTACAGAACGAGCCTCATGTTTATCCCAGCCCGACCTTTCCTGTCTCTGACCCTGCAAGGAAATATCAAACACGAGCTGGCAACTGGAAGCGGAATCGATCCCAGCCCAGCAGAACACTGCAAAGGTGAACTCTGTCGATGGTGCGGAGCCAGCCAGGGATGGCTCCTGGCTCACAACGCAGGCACAAGACTCCTTGCTGGGATCTGAAGAGGCTCATCAGATTTCTGTCACCCCAAGGTCTCACTCAGCACCATGAGTACACGCAGGCGGAGCGGGATCCCAACGGGAATGGTTACCAAGTGCCCCTCCCTCACGCCCAGCACAGGCCACCTTGTCACCTGCACCGAGATCCAGCTTCTCCTGCGTCAGCGCCGCTGCTGAGCCATCCTCTGACCTCTGCTCAAGTGAGAACACGTCACTCGTGAGCTGGTTTCGCACAGAACCGCTTCCAACCCATAGCACGGTGCCACAGCCTGCAGCAGCTCAGGCTCGCTGCCTTCTTCCAGGCTGCCTGTGCCCTGCCAGGCCTCACACACACCAGCCAGTCGGATCTACATAAGCACAGGAGGCACCAGCAGCTCTTCCACAAACAGAATCAGAAGCGGGAAAGCAAAGGACTGAGGGCAGAGAAGACACCAACGTGGTCTGGAGGGTCCAAGGGCAGCGGCTCGTTCTTGCCCAAGCAGTTCAAACACTCCATCGCTCCAAGGGTGGCATCTCCTGGGGACTCAGCCAGAGCAAAGGCAGATTCTTCACTGAAATCAGTCCCAGAGAAAGCATTTGGCTTCCCAAGTCGAGGAGTTGCTGTTTAATCCCGCGACAGCGCAGCTGAGTGACTTCAGGTTTGAGTTACAAAAAAAGAAAGCACTAGAAAATAATCTTGATACAAGAGCAATGATGAGCTGAGGTTCCCCACCCTGCACAGGGAATCCTGCTCCACATCTGCCCAGCACAGCTGGGGTGCTGCCAAGGCATTGCTTGTTCCCAGCACACGCTGGAGTGGCAAACTGTCCTGGGTGAAAGGTAGGTGGGGGAATCCCCAGCAGCAGGAGTTAAGACGCTGCCACCAGCTCTGGCTTTGGCCTGTTCTTGACGGGAGACGCTTCTGTGGAAGAAAAAGAACCTTGTTACAGAAACAGAGAATGAGAATGATCTCCAGGCATCTCCTGGGGAGGAACCAGGACTCAGGAACAGGAGAGGTAACAAAAAGGAATTCCTGAAGAAGAATGACCAGATGCCAAGTGAACAGAGACCAGAGCCATGGGTGTTCTTAATGGAGACGATACTTACACCAGGAGAGGGTCTCACACTATTGCACAGAACTGAGAAGAAGAGAAGCCAAAGCTGCAGAGCATGTAAAGCATACCTGGGATCTTCTCTGGGAGTGGCTCAGAAGGAACTTCTGGAAGCTCCATCTGTTCCTGTAAGAACATGGAAGACAACACATGACACACATCTGGTGGCGGGCACTGACCCCTGGAGTGATTAGCTTGGCCTTTGATGACACAATAATTGGGCATAAACAGGTATGACTGAGATCTCTGGTGCAATAAGATAAACTACTGAGAATGGGAAAAGGTACTTTCTCCCCTATTACAAACAGCTTCCTGAAAATGTGGATTTACAGTAGTTACATCAGTCCCACCTGAGTAATAGCGTTTAATTCCTCTAGAATGGCATCTTCATCCTCCTCTGTCAGGCTGCCAGCCAGTATCTCGTCTATTTGCTATGGAAGAGAAGAGAGACACTCCAGTCAACAACAGTGCAGCAGAAGCAGCTCTCTGGCTGCACACACATGGGAGAGCAGCATAAAAACAGGGTGAAGGGGTACTCAGGAAAACTAACAGCTAAATTTTCTGCAGGCAACTGGGCTTCCATTCCTCATCTGATTGCCTCTTAAATGAGGCTGGGAACACATTGCTCCTCAGAGCAGCTCTGTATGGCAGGGAGCCTCTGCTCACAGCTCCTCACGCACACAGTACGTACCCTCTGGTACTCCACGGCATCCTGGGTTTCACCTATTATTCTTTCTACTTCTTCTATTGACATAACCTGAAGAAAAGAACCAAAATCCAGATGTGAGATCTGCAGGGAGATGGCTACAAACAGGCAGGACTCTGCCTGGTCCAAGGCAAAAGCCTGCTCAGCCAGCCTGGTCACACCAACCTGGTGCATCTTGTGCAGACATTCGTTGCCTATTTTCAGGCCCTCAATGACCTTCATTTCGATCTGGGTGAATTCAATATCCTGGACCTGAAACAGAAAGGAGAAAGGGAAATGTCAGAGGCTGCCACGTTCCCATTGTTGGCCAGATACAGTCTGCCAAGAACCCAAAGAAACTGCAAGGAGAAATCAGTCAAAAGCCCTTTCTCTAGAGAAGAGAGGATTAAATTCTACCAGTAGTAAGAAACACACACACAAAGCCTCAGCACAGGCGGCTGCGAGAGCACATCCAAGAGCCCTGTGACTGATTTTCTAGCTGACAGCCTCAGCTGAGGCCCCAGTCTCTGCGGCCACCCAGAACATCCCCCCCATCTCTGCAGTCATGGCGCTGGGGGAGGTTTCTCCAGCAGCTCCCCCCACGGTGAGTAAAGCTTCACTAACTTACCAAACACGTATTTAACACGTGACCTGCCCTGGCGATTCCAAGCACACTCACTGCTCGGTGCTTCAGGGAAGGGCCACGGCATACGTATGATCCCAGGGAATTTCAGGGCTATCTGCCCTTTGGACAGAGGACCAGAGTCCCAGCACGGATTGAGAGTCAAAATGTGATCCCACAGATGCAGAAGGAACCTCCCCCAGGGCAGGGGCTCACGGGGCTGACCACTCACAGCCCCGGCTCCTCACTCACCATCCGCTCCAAGTTGCTGATCTGGTTTTCTGTTCTATCTAGAAGCTGCTCTTGGTAACGCTTCTTCTTCAGCAAGAGCATGGCTTTTCTAAGGGAAACAGGAGGGAAAAGCACAGATGAAAGAAAGTCAGCCTAAAAAAATCACATCCAAACCGCATCTGCTTCATGCTCTATCCAAAACAGGCTGAAGCCACGTGCAAGTTAAATGACAGCTCTGAACTGCTCCTGGGAGGAAAAAGGGCGAGCAAATTCACAAACCTGGTGACTGAAATACCAAGTGTACGTGCTGGGGTGAAGCAAAACGACCCCCAGCACAAAGTGCTTATGACACACAGAGGCACCAACACTGCGCTGCGGGGGCAGAGAGCTGCAGCGGGTTAACAGCAGTGTATTGACGGGCTGTGTCTCTCTTGGTTGGAGGTACAAAGCTTTGAGCTTCCTCTCTTAAAGGACAACCCTGAGCAGCTCCGCAGCCCATCGACACCCGGGCCAGCACCTCCTGCCCCTTGCTCCCCCCGGGGTGTGTGTGCCCCCCTCACTCTTTCTTGCCGTCCTTCAGCAGCTGCCGGGCCAGCGCTCGCTCCCGCTCCAGGTTCAGGTTTATCCGCTTCTGATACTGCTTCAGCTTGTCCCGCTGCTGCTTCAGTTGCTGCAGGAGGCAGGCACAGGCGGGCGGACC